GGAAAAAAAGGATAAAAAGAAAGTGAGACTCAGAGCCTGACCAACATGGAGAAACCCGGTCTCCACAAAAAATACAAAATTAGCCAGGTGTGCTGGTGCATGCCTGTAATCCCAGCTAGGTGAAACTGTGTAGGCCAAGCAAACTGGGTGGAGAACCCTGAATAAAGGAGTTAAAATGAAACAGAGCTTTATATCTGATAAAAATGTGTTCTGAAAAGTTTGTTGTGAATTGAACTTTTAATTATTATATTTTCTCCTTTGACTTGTAGTAATATTTTTCCAGCTTGAGGTATGAGGACTCATAGAAATTATGTATCTTCAATGAATACAATGTATGCAATGTATGCTTTAATATATGTATAAATTATGAAATGATTACTGACAATCAGGCTAACTTTTTAAAGATATTTTTATTTCAGGTTGGCCCTCAATTGGTAGAAATTCACAGCTCTTCAGTTTTAGGTCTCTCTGCCTCCCATTTCAGAGTGGTGCAGCAGAATTGCATTATTTTGAATACCATAATGTATAATTTGTGATTATTCCAATTATTCCAATAAAGGTTGCTTTGCATGAAGAAAATACAGTGTACAACCATGTGTGGATAAATGCATAAGATACTTAAGAACAGAAGTGTTAATAAAAAAGGCGTGGTTGCTAATCCCAGCAACTTGGGAGGCTGAGGCAGGCGGATCACCTGAGGTCGGGAGTTTAAGACTAGCCTGACCAACATGGAGAAACCCGGTCTCCACAAAAAATACAAAATTAGCCAGGTGTGCTGGTGCATGCCTGTAATCCCAGCTATTTGGGAGGCTGAGGCAGGAGAATTGCTTGAACCAGGGAGGCAGAGTTTGCGATGAGCTGGGATCGTGCACTTCACCCTGGGCAACAAAAGTGAAACTCATTCTCAAAAAAAGAAAAAAAAAAAGAGTAAATTCTGACACATGCTACAATATGGATGAAACTTGAGGGCATTATGCTAAGTGAAACAAGCCAAACACAGAAAAGAAAAACAGTATATGATTCCACATATGAGGCACCTAGAGTAGTCAGATTCACAGAGAAGGTAGAACAGTGGTTGCCAAGAGCTGGGTCAGAGGAGAATGGGCAGGTGTTGTGTAATGGGAACAGAGTTTCAGTTCTGGTGAGATGAAAAAGCTCAGGAGAGGGGTGGTGGTGACTGTTGCACAACAAAGTGAGTGTAGTTAAAGCCACTGAATTATACACTCAAAAATGTTAAAATGCTAAATTTTACTTTACATATATTCGACCACACACACACAAATGGAGCCATGAAGTTTCACGTATCTTAATAGGACAAATCAAAATCAGTTTTCGGAATACACTATTTTCATTTTTCCTTTACTTTATGCCAAGAAGTGTAAGTTACAAAACAAAAATGCATCTTTATCTGCATTCAGTTCTTGCAGTAAGTATATGGCCTGTTGGAAGTCATACTCTTCCCAAACCGTCAATCATTAAAGTGTGCAGTTCTAAAAATACAGATATAAAAATACCTTTTCCCGAATATTCATTTTTTAATTTATATTTTCACCTTCCGATTTCGTGTATCACCTAAGAAGTGAGTATGCCTCATGGTTAAGAATGTGGGCTCTGGTGCTAGAAGGATTTATCACGAATGTCCCGGAGTAACTCTGGGCCTTTACCACTTGGCACGTAATCTCAGATTAAGGGAAACACTTGCCTCTCATAAAAGGAGAAAGAGGGGGAAAAAAAGGATAAAAAGAAAGTGAGACTCAGAAAACTCGAGTTTCTGTCATAACTTATTTTATCTAAACAATTTAAAAAATGAAGGAAGAGAGGAATCAAGGAAGTTTCTAAATCCACATGCTTTATCTTCCCATTTATGCACGCGATGATAAACTTACTAGGGCACGTGGAAAAGTAACTCCTTCTGTATTCCTCACGACACTGACCTTCGAGTGTTCCCAACAGAATGCTGGTCATGCTTGCAGTTCAGCTGAATTTTTTTTTCTTTAACAAGACTTGCTCTCCTTTCTGGTTTCTCCCCAGCCTCTTTATGGGTGCCCGGTAAAATAACACTTACCTCCCGGCTTCCATTTACTTCCGTCCCTGCCCTGTCGGACCCGCTGGGCAAGATCCCCCGCCTCAACGGCCCACATACTGGAAGGTGCAGCGCCCAGGGCGCACAGCTCCCAAGTGGCAGTGGGACTGACGCACGAGGCCATCCCCGAGCTAAGCTGAGGTGTTTCTGGAAGGTACCCTCTGCCTAGGTGCCGGCAGCAGCCCTGGAACGCGCCCCGGGGGACAGAATGCATCATCAAGGTGCTTTGACCACCTTGAGGCCTCCTTCTCCCCCTGGCCTCCGTTCCCACATGCCCTACCCACAGCGACCTTCACTGGCTCCCGGTATTCACCTAGAGACGTCGGCGGCCGCAGCCTTCAGCCCGTCCGCCATCTCCACTGCGACCCCAGTAGCGGCTGACCCAGCCAGCTGCGCCCTGGAGGGCGGGGCGGGGCGGGGCGGGGCGGGGCGGGGCGGGGCGACCCCACCCGGCAGGGGGCGAGGCAAAGGCCGCTGATTTCCTACTGCATATAACACACCCACTTTAGCTAAAGCAGAAATTAAAGCCAGGAGGCGCCATCCCTTGTGGGCACCTGAAAAGTACAAAACGAAGTCTGGGGACAGTTCAAAGGCGCTTAAGTTGACCAGTGGCAATTTTTGTTTCCCGCCCCCCTGCACACGCGAAAGCGCTTGCGCTGCCATTGGCTCCCGCTGGGGGTGAGTCCGGAACCTGCGAGCCCTAGAACTTTCCACTCTGAGCTCCAAGTTGCGCTACGCGCATCCTTGCTGTGCGTTTCCTAGCGGCTCTCTCGTCTTACTTGCAGCTTGTGTCCGGAGTAGCAGACAGCCATGGTGGCCCCGCGGGCCTGGCGCTGACAGACCCTGGAGCAGTGTCTCATAGAGGTCGGCAAAGCCACCGGCTGGCACCAGTGCATCCTCACGTAAGTGCGCAGATCCCGAGCTCGGGTGGGACTGGGGTCGCACGTGGACGCGAGTTGCAGACTCCTGGCAAATTGTGGAGCTAAGGGAAGGTAAGGGGAAATGTAAACCACTCTTCCCCACATTTCGGAGTTTATACTTTCCTAGGCTATCAGAATTTTCAAAATGGTTAAAAATTTTTACAGTATGGCTCTCTCAGTTGAATGTTATTGAAATGAACGTAACCTCAGTTATTAACGCCTAGAAGCTCCCCTTGAGGCTTATTACTGCCCCCATCCCCCTACACACAAACTGTGTTGGTTTCTCCTTCCGCCTATGTGCTCCTAAAGCACTCAGTGTTTCACTGTCATCATACTTTATTGAAAGTACAAACTTGTCACTTGTCTGTCCACCCCAACTAAGCTTCTTGAGGATTAGAACTTTCATGTCTCTTCCCAGCACAAGCGTTTTATGCGTACTTTGTTGAAGAACTTCAAATATGATCTATAAAATTATGACTCATTTAACTCCAACCTCTCCCTTGAGTCCCTGGCTCACAGCAACTACAGACCGAGCTTAGTTGGAATTCAGTAGCACACAACTGGGATATCCGCACTGTAAGGCTTTTAACAATTTTTAAAATTTTGGTACCCTCAGCATCGCAAATTCACTGTGTCCAAAATAGAGTAGAATGTTGTTTCTACCCACCTGTACTCTGCCATCCCCTGAAGTCCTTTCCCCATGGTCCACCACTCAAGCCTTGCCTATCGCAGTAAATGGCGGTTGTCTTTCCACTTGCTCACACATAAAACTAGGCTGCTATTTTGATGTCTTCATTTTTCTCTTATTCTGTATCTAATTCCTTAGCAATCCTGTCAGTTCTACCTCTAAACTGTACTCAGCATATTCACTGCTCTAACTCCAGCTTAAATCACCATCATCCTTTGCCTGGAATGCTGCTTCAACCTTCTAATCATTCTACTTTCCTCCTCCTCCTTCCTGCCTTTCTTCTTCCTTCGTGTAAATCATCATTTCGTCCTTCTGCTTAAAATCTTCTCATGTTTTCTTACTACATTTAAAATGGCAAACTCTTACCCTTGAGCCCTGCAGAATTTGGCTCCCTTCAGTCTCTCCAGCTTCGCCTTCTGCCTCCATCACACTCTAGAGCCATGCTCATTTTTTTATTCCTTTGGCTTACCAAACTGAATTGCATCTTAGAGAATTTGTTCTTGCTGTTTCTTCTGCCTGGAATACATGTTATCCCATCTGTATAAGACTATCCTTATGTGTAGGTTTCATCTGAGATGTCACATCTAAGAGAGGTTTTCCTTGACCACTGTAGCCAAAGCAAATGTTGATCACTGAAGAAATAAGGGAATGAATGAATGAATGAATGGAGTGATGTATAATGTAGCTGAGTTGATAATTTAAGGCTAATTCACTATATATCTCCAAGTAAGTCGATTTATAATGCTTTTCCTGCCTAAAAGCTATACAGCTGATTCACAAATCCTTGGTTGACAGGTTTTATATATCATTGTGGCTCATCAGCTTATATGTTGTTGGGGCCAGCATCTATACTTACACTTCATTCAAATTTGATTTTACAGAATAGTTGGAGTTTTTATTTTTCTTTTAATTAAGAGGGCTGTGAAATTATTACCTATAATTCTAAATCTCATTTAATTCCTCCCAATAGGATTCAAGATGGACTGGCATCAAAGTTCACTTCTTTAACAAAAGCACTTTATGACTTTAATAAAATTAATTAGAGAATAGTGGGATCCGTGGAAGCCCTTTATAAAAACTTGTGATAGAAAGTTTTGATGATGAGCAGACTTTGCAACAACTGGAAATGCAAAATGAACCAATTTTACAACACTTCCAAAATGCAGTTAGTGAAACGCAGATGAAGATATCAGTCTTCTCCCAGAGAGTGAAGAACAGGAGCGTGAAGAGGCTGGTTCAGAGACAGAGGCTGGTGGCCAGGAGGACCTAGAAGATTTAGAGGAGAAAGAGGAAGTGTCAGATATGGGTGGTGACAATCCTGAGGTGGGTAAGAAAGCTAAAAACTCAAGCAAATTTGAACTGAGGAAAAGCCCAGTTTTCAGTGATGTGGATTCTGACCTTGACTTTGATATCAACAAATTGGAACAGCAGAGCAAGGGGCAACACAAAGGACTTGGAAAACCAAGAGAAGAGTCCACAGTAGACGAGAAATTCTCCCAACTCTCTGAAATGGAGGCCGATTTAGAAAACAGAAAAAGAAGAGGAACAAAAAGATCATAATGATGATGAGGTGGAAGATACTGATTTTTTTTTTTTGAAGATATTGATTCTGGTGAAGATGAAGGGGGACTGTTTGGAAGTAAAAAAACTTAAGGTAAAAACAAAACAAAACAAAACAAAAAAACTTAAGGTAAAGTTTTGAGAGAGGAGAGAGCACTTTCCTCTTCAAATTAGCTTTTGTTCTGTTTTTCTAGGAGAGACGTAGTTAGAAGATTTAGAGCTAAGAAATATTATGCTCTGTCTTATCGGTTATACATGAATCTGTACTTCCATTCAGTTTATGTCACAGTTGTTCTTATAATAGTTTTATGGTAGTGTTTTTAGTTGCCAATTTCACCTAGTAACTATTTTTGACTTGTAGTGTTATTAAGTTAGAAAGTAATGCAGACATACAGTATACATACAAATATATATGCATGTGTTAATGATGTATTTTTCTATTCCTAATTAATAGTTTTTAAAATCTTTTTATTTTAGTCAGGTGAAAGTTCCAGAAATGTGAGGTACAAAGATTTTTTTGATCCAGTTGAAAGTGATGAAGACATAGCAAGTGATCATGATGATGAGCTGGGTTCAAACAAGATGATGAAATTGCTGAAGCAGCAGCAGCAGAACTAAGCATTTCTGAAATGTGAGTATTTTGAACCATCCTTTACATTGTGAGCTAGAATTGCCCAATCATGTGTTTGTACTTGTGGTTTTCAGATACGTTTTAGAAGTTAGATTCTCTCCTATCAGATATTCTCAAGATAGCCAGAACAAGACTCTGAAAAAAAAAAAAAGGAATTTAAGGAATTTTTAATATGCTTGACATGATTGTGGAACTCACAGACTACTAACAAATCTTCCCTATTATTTTTCGTCATTTTTTTTTTTTTTGAGATGGAGTCTTGCTCTGTCACCCAGGCTAGAGTGCAATGGCGCAATCTCAGCTCACTGCAGCCTCCACCTCCTGGGTTCGAGTGATTCTGCCTCAGCCTCCTGAGTAGCTGAGATTAAAGGTGCATTCCACCATGCCTGGCTAATTTTTGTATTTTTAGAAGACATGGGGTTTCACTGTGTTGGCCAGGCTGGTCTCGAACTCCTGACCTCAGGTGATCCTCCTGCCTTGACCTCCCGAAGTGCTGAGGTTACAAGCATGAGCCACTGTGCCCCAGCCTTCCCTATTTTTCTTATTGTAACTATTAACCACCCTTTGAAAACAAATATCTTGGTCAGGTGTGGTGGCTTAACGCCTGTAATCCTAGCACTTTGGTAGTCTGAAGCGGGAGGATCAGTTGAGCTCAGGAGTTCAAGACCAGCCTGGACAACATAGTGAACCCTTGTCTCTACAAAAAATACAAAAATTAGTGGGGCACGGTGGTGTTTGCCTGTAGTCCAGTGGCTCGGGTGGCTGAGGTGGGAGGATCACTTGAGCCCAGGAGGTCGATGCTGCAGTGAGCTATGATCACATCACTGCTCTCCAGCCTGGTCGGCGGAGCAAGATCCTGTCTTCAAACAAACAAACAAACAAATAGAAAACCGAAAATCTTGATGCTAGTCTCTAAAGCAAAAGCACACTATATGGAGATGCCATATGGAAAGCATCTGATTTGCAAAAGCCAGTGCTTGCATTACCCAGCCTGTAGCTTTCCATTTGGGGCCCGTGTGTAAAATAGTTGTTTCTTTTCTCTCTCCCTTATGTCTTTATATGTATAGTATGTCTCTCCTGACAAAGCTGTCCTGAGAGCCTCTTCTTGTAACTGTTTTGACTGCTCTGCAGGATATAGCCTATGTCTTTAAGGTGCTTCACAGATTTTGGTGAGTGCCAAATAGCTGTAATTTTAATTAATACCATGACAAACATATCTTCCAAAGTATGTCGTGATTTCAGACAAGTGAAATTTCATTTAATTTTAGTAGATGTAGTCTGGCTGCAAATAATTTGGCTATATTATTTATCCAATCTTAAAATTTTATTGTAATAAAAATGAGAATAGTGCCAGGCACAGTAGCTCACACTTGTAATCCCAGCACTTTAGGAGGCTGAGGAGGGAGGATTGCTTGAGCCCAAGAGTTCGAGACCAGCCTGGGCAACATGGTGAAACCCCGACTCCACTAAAAATTTAAAAAATTAGCTGGGCTTGGTAGTGTGAGCCGATAGTCTTTGCTACTCGAGAGGCTTATCGAGGATGATCGCTTGAGTCCAGGAGTTCAAGGCTGCAGTGAGCTATGACTGGACTATGGCACTCCAGCCTGGGCAGCAGAGCTGGAGAGCAGGCAAATACACTATACCAAGAATATCAAAAGAATTATTTTTAAAATCTGCGAATCTAAATTAAATGCATCATTGTCAGATTGTCCCTAGAAGATAAATTCTAAAGGGGGGAAAAAAACAACAAGATAGTATCAATGAGTTAGTGTCCTCCCATCCCATTCCTTCCACCCTCCCCTCACAAAAAAGAGAAAAAGGTTTGGTTTTGTTTTGAAATTATATCAGACCTTCAAGTGAAGTTTTCAGTAAATCACAAATAATTTATTGCAATTTTCACATATAAAGTAGAACTTTCAAACTTTTTTTTTTTTTTTGAAACTATTAGAACATGAAAACCGAAACGTGACAAAGGTAGCATTAAAACACAGTCTCTCATTCATGACTAGTGATGCAAACACAGCACAGTGGAAAAATTATGCCACAAAACCATGCGAACCTTATTCTTTTGAATTACTGTTAGAAGATCTGGTATGATTCCTGGTTGCAAGACATCAAGGAGAAAATACACGGTTCCCTCCATGTATGTTAGAAAGACATTTGATAAAATTCAATATTTATTTCTAATTTTTTTTTTATACCTAGTGGATTATAAATACATCTAACCAAAAGCTGCCATCATGCATGATGGGTGAAATTCTACAAACATACCTTTCAGATCAAGAATAAGACAAAGTGTCCAGTATTACAGTTACCCCTGTTAATTAACACTAACAGTTAATAACCACATAAGCAAGTGTAACTACAAAAGATAAAGATAAGAGATTAGGAAAACTGACAGGAGCTGTGGTTCACACCTGTAATCCCAGCACTTTGGGAGCTTAGGAGCTCTCAGCATTTGAGCTCAGGAGTTTGAGACCAGCCTGGGCAACATGGTGAGACCTCATCTCTTCAAAAAAATACAAAATTAGCTGGGCGTGTTACCTGCGGCCGTGGTCCCAGCTACTTGGGAGTCTGAAGTGAGAGGACTGCTTGAGCCTGGGAGGCAGAGGTTGCAATGAGCTGAGATCGTGCAACTGTACTCCAGCCTGCACAACAGAGCGAGACTCTGTCTCAGAAAAAAAAAAAAAAAAAGATTAGGGATACTAAAATGAAAACATTAGTGTTTGGAGAGAAAACCAAATGAATAAAGTGAATTGATACTGGAAAATAAGAGAATTCTGTAAGGTAGCTGAAAAAGCTGGCATTTTATTCACTGAAGTCATAATTGTTGTCTTTTAGAAGTTAGAGATAATAAAAATTTGAGTTTAGAGTCAAAAGGGTCAGGCTCCATCAAATACTAATATCCTAATCAAAGAATTACTTGGCCGGGCATGGTGGCTCGTGCCTGTAATCCCAGCACTTTGGGAGGCCGAAGTGGGCAGAACACGAGGTCAGGAGATCAAGACCATCCTGCTAACACGGTGAAACCCCATCTTTACTAAAAATACAAAAAATTAGCTGGGCGTGGTGGTGGGCACCTGTAGTCCCAGCTACTCTGGAGGCTTGAGGCAGGAGAATGGCTTGAACCCGGGAGGCAGAGCTTGCAGTGAGCCAAGATTGTGCCACTGCACTCCAGCCTGGGCTACAGAGTGAGAGACTCCATCTCAAAAAAAAAAAAAAAAAATTCACTTTAGGATGCTGTAATCAAAATTAATAGTGGCTTGTGAACAGATAGATCACTTGAATAGAATAGAGCCCAGAAATAAACCCAAATGTTTCTGAGGGAGTTTAGTATCTTATAAACATGACATTTTAAATCAACGAGGAAAAGAAATCATTTGCAACTCACCCTACCATAGGTAGCAGGAATAGGAAGTCATTGGCAGAATGAAAAGCTGGTAAGAACAGAACAGAGTTGTAGAACAGTACGTTTCTTGCTTCCCCACTTTTCAAAGTATTTTTTTGTTTTTACACAAGTATAAGTGTAATTTTATTTTCTAAATGTATACTAATTATTTTGTCTCTTTCTTAGATGAATGACAAAAATTACCTCTTTAGAAAAAGAGTTATTAGAAAAAAGCCTTGGCAGCATCAGGGGGAAGTGACAGCACGGAAGAGACCAGAGAATAGCCCCTTGGAGGAGACCCTGCACTTTGACCATGCTGTCCGGATGGGTATGCTGCCGTCTTCTGCAAAGTCTTCACTTCTGTGCTTTTTCTGTGGTTCCATTTCATAGAAAGATTTGGGGTGGTGTTTCTTTTCCCTCAACTTTTTATTTGAAAAGCTTGCAAACACAGAAAAGTTGATAAAATCATGCAGTAAACATCTGTATGCTATTCACCTGGATTCACTAGTTCATGTTTTGTCATATTTGTTTTCTCTCTTCCACGTATGGAAGATTGTATATTTGCCCTTTTTCCCCCTGAATCATTTCAAAGTAAGGTGCCAGTATCATAACATTTCACTGTTAAGTACTTTTGCAGATATCTTCTAAGAACCAGGACATTCTCCTATATAATCACAATACCATTAATCGACCCAAAAAAATTAACACTGATATACTAATGATACCTAATGTATAGATTATAATCAGCTTTCTTGCAGTAATCTGTTTAGAAGGCTTGCATCCTGTCACTGTCCACTGATTAAATTTTGAACTCTTAACTTGAAACCCTGGTCATCTCATTGCCTTCTTTCTTATACCCATTAAGTCAAAATGAGCTCTCATTTTATTTCAATGGAAAAGAGAATGGAAAAGAGGGGAAGGGTCCCTAGGTATCTTGGGTAGAGTATGAGCACTTACTACCGTATGTATTCTAGTTCTGTAGTTTTCAAACTTCAGGGAGCATCTCAAGGCTTATTAAAGCACAGATAGCTGTCCCTCTTCCCCACTTTCTGATTCAGGAGGTGTGGGGCTGGCCCAGGAATTTGCGTGTCTAACAAGTTCCCACGTGTTGCTGATGCTGAGTGTCTAAGGACGACAATGCGAGAATCAGTGGTTTGGTGGATATCTACCTAATGAATACATGTTGCATCTCCTTTAGTGCCTGTGATTACAGAGGAAACACTTTTCAACTGGAAGCTATCATTAAACAGAAGATAAGGGATCAGGTCAGTAAGAATTAAATTTAACTTAATTGAAATGTCACTGAAATTTTTAGAAATAATATCACAGGCCAGGCACAGTGACTTATGCCTGTAATCCCAGCACTTTGGGAGGCCAAGGCAGATGGACCACTTGAGGTCAGGAGTTTGAGACCAGTCTGTCCAAGATGGTGAAATTCCCTCTCTACTAAAAATACAAAAATTGACTGAGCATGGTGGTGCATGCCTGTAGTCCCAGCTACTCGGGAGGCTGAGGCAGGGGAATCGCTTGAACTTGGGAGATGGAGGTTGCAGTGAGCTGAGATGTGCTACTGTACTCCAGCTTGGGCAGCAGGGTGAGACTCCATCTCAAAATCAATCAATCAATCAATAAAACTAAAAAAATAAAGATGTGGCAGCTTTGTGTACTGCACGTGCTGAAAATGGGCTGATTTCCCTCAAGGGGCAGGGATTTAAGCTCTCTAGCCTACATGGGATACGTACAGGAGAAAAAAGAGAAAAAGAAAAGAAATGTGAATATAAATAAATGAAAATAACACTTCTCCCTGATTACAAAGGAAATCACATTCTTTTTGTAACAATTTGGATGACAAAATATAAAGAAAAATCTTTAATTTTGCCACTCAAAACATTCTGGTTTGTTGCTTTTTATACTTTCTATGCATATAAACATTTTAAAAAGTAAAATCATAATATATGGTCTTTTGTCACTTACTATATTTTAAGCATGCTTCTGTGGCAGAAATATATCCTGGCATCATCATTTTTAACGGCTGGATGCATGTTAAGTAAATTATCACCACCCCAGAGGTGATTTTCTTTCTTTATATATTTTAATGGACTCGAGTAAGGATTTTTTACTGAATTCATAGAAGTAGAATTTCTAGAGGAAAATAATATAAAGCAGTTTTAGGATTTTTAAAAGAAATGTTCAAATGATCCTGTAGGAAAATTGGTTGAGTTTATGCTCCCATCAACAGGGACAGAGCTCCAGGTTCCCCTTCCATTTGTCATCTTTGCTGGTCTTTCAGCAGAAAATCTCATTGTTTTCATTACATTTCTTTGATTTCTAGTGCTTTTGAATCTTTTTTTTTTTTTTTTTTTTTTTTTTTTTTTTTTTTTTTTTTCTGTCGTCCAGGCCAGAGTGCAGTGGCCGGATCTCAGCTCACTGCAAGCTCCGACTCCCGGGTTTACGCCATTCTCCTGCCTCAGCCTTCCGAGTAGCTGGGACTACAGGCGCCCGCCACCTCGCCCGGCTAGTTTTTTGTATTTTTAGTAGAGACGGGGTTTCACCATGTTAGCCAGGATGGTCTCGATCTCCTGACCTTGTGATCCGCCTGTCTCGGCCTCCCAAAGTGCTGGGATTACAGGCTTGAGCCACCGCGCCCGGCCTTTTGAATCTTTTTCATATGCTCATGGACCATTTTTATTCTTGTGGGAAGTGCTGGTTTCTCCATTGCTCATTTTCTGCTGGAAATCATTCATTTTTTTTTTTTTCTGAGTAATTTTAAAGATTTCTTTATAGGCTAAGGATATAAACCTTTTATCTGTCACTGAGGTTACAAATACTTTCTCCCAGTAAGTAATTTGTCATTTCACTTTATTTACTTTTTGCTAGCAAAGCACCAAAGTCATATTTCACTTAATTTTTATCCTGCTGAATGAAAACATTTTAACTTAGTGGTTTTAGTTGAAACAGGAGCAGGACAGAATGTAATATCTAGATCTCACTCTGTCACCCCAACTGGAGTGCAGTGGCATGATCTTAGCTACTGCAGCCTCAAACTCCTGGGCTCAAGCGATTTTCCCACCTCAGCCTCCCAGGTAGCTCTAAGACTGCAGGTGTGTGCCGCCATGCCCAGCTAATTTTTAAATTTTTTTGTAGAGATGTGAATTTGCTATGCTGCCCGGGCTGATCTTGAACTCCTGACTTACCCCACCTTGGCTTGCCAATATTCTGGGAGTACAGGCGTGAACTACTGCTCCCGGCCAAGAGCTTACTTTTGTTTGCTAGTGGTGTTCTTGGTATCTTTTTATATTTGAGGCTTTCATGCTAGTGCTGAAGTGTTACACTCACCATCTGAGGTTCACAGGACTTTTGTTTCAATATCGAACAGAGGGAACTCTTTAGTTCTGCATCTTCGCAGGTATACAAAATGTGCCTACCAGGACTCTGCTTTATATCCATTGAAAAGCAAGAAGTAATACAGTAAAACTTTGCCTGGCTAGAGGCTTTGGAAGAATGGAATATTCTGGTTTAATTCTATTAACTTGGAAGGATGAAGGTGAAAAAAATTCAAAACTTTAATTTCCTGTTGAATGCAATTTGAAAATATAGCCAGTGATTCCACTTTTCTTCTCTAGTAAGTTTGGACATTCAGATCTACTTGGTCTTTTATCACAGAACTACTAGTGTGCCTGAGTCTTACATTGTGAAGATCCTTTTCTAAAACTTTAGATGTAAGAGGATATAAATGATACTGGATGAGATCAGGATGAATGAGAACTGATGCCTGTAAATATACTTTTTAGATGAAATCTCTGATTGCCACTCGTTTTCTTGTTGAACTCATAAAAATAAAACACATTGGCTGGAGGGTGGAAGTAGGAAGATTTATGTCTTTTAATTGCATGTCATTGTTTCATATCGAGACAGAACATACAGTATTCTTGGCTTTGGACCTACAGAAGGAAACACATTTTTCTACCTGCTGCATGCCAGAGGTTCCTGAACACCTGGAGGGCTTATTGCAACACGGATTGCTGGGCCCTACTCCAGAGTTTCTGATTCACCAGGTCTAGGGTTGGGCCTGAGAATTTACATTTATAAGAAGTTCCCAGGTGCTCCTGGTCCAGAGACTATATTTTTGAGAACCACTCTTATATACTAACTGTAAATTGTAGAACTATAGAAAAAAGCTTAGTTTGGTCTGGGATAAGAAGCACACAGGTAATGGAGCAAATCATGAAAAAGTCAACCCTTGATCTCAGGTAACAAGCAATACACAGTGACGTAACACAATTCTTGGTTTTCATCATTGCAAGTGATAGCCAAGTGTTGAGTGAGAAATTCAGTTTCATTTGCAGGGCTTAGAGAGGCCGGGTGATTCTAGAAAAATAGGATTTAGTGATTAACCTCATGAGAGTAGGAGTTATTTATGTCCTTTTTCTCTCCCCCATCACTTAGCATTTAGTCTTACTTTAGAAGGGTCCTGTATTTGTTTTAAACTTACAAAGAACTTTGAGTGCTTATTAAATGGAAAGCTCTGTGTGTGTGTGTGTGTGTGTGTGTATGTATGTATATATGTATGTATGTACGTATGTATGTACGTATGTATGTATGTACTTAGAGACAGAGTCTCGTTCTGTAGCCAAGGTTGAAGTGCAGTGGCACGATTTTGGCACACTGCAACCTCCTTCTCCCAAGTTCAAAGGATTCTCCTGCCTCAGCTTCCCAAGTAGCTGGGATTACAGGCACCTGCCACCATGCCCAGCTAGTTTTGTATTTTTAGTAGAGACAGGGTTTCATCATGTTGGCCAGGCTGGTCTTGAACTCCTGAACTCTGGTGAGACCATCCCAGCCTCCCAAAGTGCTGGGATTGCAGGCATGAGCCACCATGACTGGCTCAAAAGCTTTGTGTTTTTAAAGATATTAGACGTGTTTCTTTTTTTTTTTTTTTTTTAAACTTAACAATAATGTAGGAGAATCAGAGAAAGTTTTTCCAAAAAAGAGAAATCATTGTGATTATTGTATTTTATTGGAATGTTGGATAATATAGTCTGCTTTGTCAATCATCAAGCACACTATAAAATTTCCATTTTAATAGGATTCATACCTCAATTGAGGTAATAAAGTTTTAAAGTTTTTAAAGTGAAAGCCAGCCCCGCCCCTCTCTGGGAGTGGGCGGGGACAGCAGTTGCATGGGTGGCTTTCCCTGTGACATCACAGGTCCTTCATGACCTGTGCTGCTATCTGGCCACGCCTCCTTTCCCTTTCATCTTTCTCATCGACCAATGGGCTTGAAGCATTAAGGCCACACCCCTATTCTGCATTCTAGTGCAGCCCTGGTTACACCTCCTCTGGCTCAGTCACACAGCTACGTGTAGGTGACTGGAGGTGTATAGTTGTCCTCGCCTGGATTGTGCTGATGTGGCCCCAACCCTACCTTCCTACCCGTCCAGTGATGTCCAAAGAAACCCAAAAGGGCAAATTGGCTGAGGCCAAGGAAAAGGTAAAATGCACCAGGTTGCGGCACCTCAACCCAGCCCCAGGCCCCCTCTGACAGCCAAACTGCTGCCAGAGTCCGTGCCACTCCTGAAGCACTCTGGGCTGGGCCCCCCAGTGCCTCTGGACTCACCAAACCAAAATCTTGTCAGCCAGCCCAACCCCCTCGTGAGTCCTGCCCCTGCCCTCGCCAGTCACCCCAGGGCGACTTTGAGCTGGTGACTCCTGGAGCTTCCCACTCCATACTCCACCTTTATCTGCTGCTACCCCAAACCCGAGCACCCTAGGCTCTTTGGGCTCACGTCTCCAAGGACCTGGGTGCCCCAGAACCTGCCTGCCCTCACCAGTTACCCCAGGGTGACTTTGGGCAGGTGACTCCTGGGGCTCCCTGCTCCATACTTGGCCCTCACCTCCCACTGCCCCAAGCCTGATCTCCGTGGGCTCTGTGGGCTCGCGTCTCCAAGGACCTGGGTCCCAATCCTGTGACCCCCTCCCCAATCTCAAAGTGGCAACTTGGGCATTGCACTCTTATGTTCCCCCCGCCACTCCACCAAGAAGTGGAATGTAGTGATGTCACAGTCCCTCTAGAAACTGTCATTACTGCCACCAGACTGGCCTTTGGTCTTGGGACCCAGTACCCTAAGTGTTCTTGTTATTTCTAGTTCCTCTGGTTGCAGCACAGATTTCCAGCTGGAAGGGGAATGGGGACTGTGGGACCTAGGAGAGAGAGGTTTCACGCTTCCTTACTTCCTTACTTCCTTAACACACAGATTGACAGTGTGAAAAGCCTACACCTCCCCCATGAGCTCAACACGTTGACAGTGTCTCTGGGTGGCAATGGGAGAATGGGTTTGGTTTGGTTTTCTCCCAGGCTTCTACTCTCCGGAGGAACTTTAACATTGTTTCTGAGTTCTCCACCTCAGATTTGAATTCTCCATTGTTCTGGGACCAGAGGGCCCCTCAGTCAGTAGTTTCTAGAGTGAGATCTGCTTATCTTCTGTGGAACAGATCTTGGGAAACTGAACTTGACAGCTTGAATCTTCCTCATCTCATCTCAACCTGGGGCACTTTGAGTGTCACAGGATAAATATGGGGCATCTTTCTGAAGCATCAGTTTCCCTTGATTCTATTGAGAGAGAAAACATTAATGTACTTAGGGATGACAGTCACATAGATCTATGAGTATACAAGACTTCTCCCTGAAATGAGGGTTGGGTTGTCCTCTTTCTGTTAAATTCTCAGATTTAACAGAAAGGCTGTCTTCTGCCATGAGGATACATTGATGTAAAAGCTTGAGAGGTTTTAGTGCACTTCTTCACACTAACAGACGTGTGAGGATATATGACTCTAAACCACACCGTGTACAGTTCCTACCTGCTTAATATTTGCCTTTCAACCTCTGCCTCTGGTTTTGGTCCCTGGCAGTTGCTGATTTGTGGCAAAATCCTGGAACTCAGAGTCAGAAGACTGGGTTTAAGTTCCATCATTGCCTTTTCTTCAGCCGTGGTATCAATCCCTCTCAGTCACTAAGTGATTGTGACAACACTTTCTACAGTTGTTGGTGGCATTAAATCAGATGCTCTATAATAGTATTTTGTATGAACTGTAAAGCCGGATGTGATTGTAGGAGCTTGTAGTGCTCATGAGTATCACTGCTCTTCCTTTACACAGTTGAGAGACTATCATCCCCAGACCAACCCTAGTGTTGGTAAAGGAGCAACCGACACCAAAAAGAAGAAAACAAATAATGGCACTAACCCTGAGACAACCACTTTTGGCGGTTGCCACTCACCTGAGGATGTGGGTCTTGGCTGGCCAGGCTCCTAGGGACAGAGGGCCCAACGGGTGGTGGAGGGTAATTGTTAAGATTGTGGAAGAACTGCCAGGTACTGCTTAAGAATTCTGGGTTTGAATCTTACCTCTCCATCTGCTAGGGATATGATTTAGGGCAAATTGCTTGAGCCCTTTGGGCCTCTCTTTTCACTTCTGTAAAATAGGAGTGGTATTGTTTTACTTACATTGGTGAAGTTTAAATGAGATTTGTCATTGTTGTTTTATGTTAATCCCTAGTCCAGGGCCTGCTGTAAACTCTCCTTCTCGGGCTTGCATTTCCTGAAGTAGTTAGACAGTATCAGAGGTTTCTGTTAGCTCTGAGAGTCTGAGAGTTGAAGGCCCACTAGAATGGAAACCTCGGGGCCGAGGGCTCCTGTCTGCCTTTTCCGTCCTAAATCCTTGCTGTGAAGAACCAGCCCTGGTCGGTATGTGCTCAGTCAGTGTTTGTTGAATGACTGCACCTTTCTAAATCACAAGCTGGCAGAGGGGTGGGCTTTCCTCACACTCCATCTCTGAAGGTTTCTGTGACTGTCTTTCTGAGAGAATCTGGTTTCAGACTTTCAGTTCTGTGGCTGTGGGCAAAAACCAACAAAGACCCAAATCCTTTTTCTTTGGGAGTGGAGGAGAGTTTACCAGTTCGTGTTCCCATTGGGTCTGAGAACTTCGCTTTCAAAATCCATTCCTGGCCCCTGCCTACCGCTTCCTGGCCTGGGGAATAGAGTCGAGGGGGCCACCCTCAGTCACCTTCCTTTGACTCTCCCGACAGAGACAACAGAACCGAGCTCAGCTGGAAGCAGTAACGTGATTTCTTTGTTTGCTCATGACGTGACTGCTGGGTTCGGGGGGGCAGTCAGATGTAGAGGCCCCAGTCTCATCCCGCCCACTCCCAGCCTGAGGAAGAAGGCTCACCCCCCAGATTCCACCCCATCCCCACAGGGTCCCTGATAACCTGGTCCCGTGGGTGGGCCTGTCCTGGGGCAGTGGTGCCATTCTGGGGGCATGTCTCTTGCTGTGCCATCTCTGCCTCCCCCTAGGAAGAGCTCTGTCTTCCTCTTTCTATAGGAAAAGAAGGCAAGCCACCAACATCAGGAAGCCCTAAGGAGGGAGCTAGAGGTGAGTGGAGGGTGTGAAGTTCCCTCCTGTCCTCCGGAGAAGGTTTCTTTGCTTCTCTTTCAGCACTTGCTTGTCTTTTCTCCCAAAGGCCCAGGTTCATACCATACGAATCCTTACATGTCAGAAAAGTGAGCTTCAGACGGCGCTCTATTACAGCCAGCATGCTGCCCAGCAGTTGGAAGGTGGGAATCTGGCACCCCGTCCTCCTTCAACCTGGCATTTGACAGGCCTTTAGGGGGAGTCCTTTGGGCCGCATCTGAATGTCTCCCATTCCAGGAGAGTCCAGGGATCTCGTGAGCCGTCTGCATGATTCGTGGAAGTTTGCCGGAGAGTTAGAGCGGGCTCTCTCTGCTGTCATTACCCAGAAGAAGAAGGCGGACAGGGTGAGTCCAACCACCTGCCCTGTCCCCTGGGACCCTGGCTTCGCAGATGGAGGAGTGAGCCTAAAGGCCCCTTCCGTAGGATGGAGTGTCCTGCCCAGAAGGTAGCATGGCCATTTCTTGCTGCTTTTGTGTGTGGTGGTTAGAGGCTGACAGGGGCTGAGTCGGCTGCTGTGGGTGAGTTGGGGGGTACTGTGGGGAGCGAGCACTGGACAGAGAGCTCGGAGGCCAAGTGCCTGCCCTGCCCATACTTGGCTGTGGCCTTGGCCACAAGTGGTGGCCTAAGTGGTGGTTAGGGTACTTGTACCATAAAGGTACGGAGGAGTATCTTGAGTATGTTATTATCTGTGTTGAGAGAGGCAGCACGCATATGTGTGTGTGTATGTATTATGGTAATATACATAAAACATGTTTGTAAGGATTCATAAAAAAGGAGAGAGGAACAGTGTTGTGGGGGAGATATTTCCCTTCTGTACTTTCTGAGTTTTGGACTATGTGAACGTATCATCCTTTTAAAAAGTCAATAAAAGATTAATTTCCTCCTCCTTGTCTGTGCCCCTACCCTCGGTGAAAGAATGGGCTTAGAGAATCAGATATACCTGGGTGTTGAAATCCCAGCTCTAAGTGATCTTAGGCAAGCACTTAACCTTTAATACCCCATGTTTTTCATCTATACGATAGAGGTAATAATGGTAACCGTCACCTATGGAGGTTGTGAGGATTAAATGGGACTGTTAGCGCAGTGCCTGGTGAAGCACTCAGTAAAGGTTCCAACAGTGGTAGCAATAACAGTAATAACAATAGCAATATTATCTGATCTCTCTGGGCCCCTGTTAGCCAGCTATAAATTCAATCTCTTTCCCTGTCTCTTCCACCTTTACCGAGTTCTTTGAAAAACAAATGAGGGCCAGTGCTTTGACTCAGGCCTGTAATACCAGCACTTTGGGAGGCCGAGGCGTGCGTATCACCTGAGGTCAGGAGTTCAAGACTAGACTGACCAATATGGAGAAACCCCATCTCTACTAAAAATACAGAATTAGCTAGGTGTGGTGGCACATGACTGTAATCCCAGCTACTTGGGAGGCTGAGGCAGGAGAATCACTTGAACCCGGGAGGCAGAGGGTGTGGTGAGCCGAGATTGCGCCATTGCACTCCAGCCAGGGCAACAAGAGTGAAACTCTGCCTCAGAAAACAAAAAACAAAAAAACAAAACAGAAAAGAAAGAAACAAAACGAAGAAAAACAAATGAGACCATGGGCTTGGAAATGCCTTGAGAACATGTCAGGTGTGATTGGGAGTGAGGAAGTGTTACTGTGGAGTAGTCACGAGAGCTGTTGTTCCTGGTTGGCCAGCTGCTCCTCTGCCTGCTGTGTCCTGACTTCACCTGCCTCTATTTGCAGTACATCGAGGAGTTAACAAAGGAGAGGGACGCCCTGTGTTTGGAGCTGTACAGAAACATGTAGGATGGGGGAAGGTGGGATGGGAGGTCTGGAGGCCCTTAGCGTGGGTGGTGTGCTGGGAGTGGGGGGTACAGGTGAGCATGATGAGAGGCTCATGCAGGTTTTCATGTGTGTGCAGGGAAGCTCTAGTGCCAGCTGTGCCACTGACTCATGGGTAGCCTCAGGCAACTCATGTCTTCTCTCTGGCCTGCCACCTGGGACTTTTAATTCCTGGGGTCCCTTCCAATGCCACGGTTCTGTGGTTGTGGGGCGAAAGTAGAGGGTTGATCACCAAAGCAGTCCTTTCTGTTCTTCATTCATTCCTTTCTCTACTGCCTCTGGTTATAGCATAACCGATGAGGAGCTGAGGGAGAAGAATGCCGAACGGCAAGAAAAACTTCGACTTGTAGAATCTGAAAAGTCTGAGATCCAGTTCAACGTAAAGGAGCTAAAAAGGAAGCTGGAGAGGGCCAAGCTCCTACTGCCACAGGCGAGTGGCTGGAGCCCCGGGGGTTGTGGGAGCCCCATCCGGCTGGGACCTTGGTCTAGGGATCATGCAGGTTATGGGGAGGTCCAGCCAGGAGCTCAAAAATTTGGGTCCTTGTTCTGGTCCTGCATAGAATCCTCTAGAGTGTGCTAAAAATATACAAATTGGGGCCCTGCCTGCGATATCAGAATCTCAGAGTTAGGGCTTAAAAAATTTTTTTTAAAGGATTATGGATGAAAACCATTATTTTATAGATTACATTTATATGGCTAGCTCATGAGTCTTTTTCCTTCTGAGGTTCAAACCAACACTTTCACTGTTCCAGCAGCAGCTGCAGGCGGATGCTGACCACCTGGGTAAGGAGCTGGAGAGTGTGGCAGCAAAGCTCCAAGCCCCGGTGGAAGAGAACGAGTTGTGGAACCGCATGAACCAGCAACAGGAGGAGAAGTTGTGGAGGCAGGAGGAGAAGCTGCGGGAGCAGGAGGAGAAGATGCGGGAGCAGGAGGAGAAGCTGCGGGAGCAGGAGGAGAAGCTGTGGGAGCAGGGCAGGAGGAGAAGATGCATGAGCAGGAGGAGAAGATGTGGAGGCAGGAAGAGAAGATGCATGAGCAGGACGAGAAGCTGCGGGAGCAGGAGGAGAAGATGCGGGAGCAGGAGGAGAAGATGTGGAGGCAGGAAGAGAAGATGCATGAGCAGGAGGAGAAGATACGGGAGCAGGAGAAGATGTGGAGGCAGGAGGAGAAGCTGTGGGAGCAGGAGGAGATGATGCAGGAGCAGGAGAAGAAGGAGCAGGAGGAGAAGATATGGAGGCAGGAAGAGAAGATGCGGGAGCAGGAGAAGATGCGGGAGTAGGAGGAGAAGATGTGGAGGCAGGAGGAGAAGCTGTGGGAGCAGGAGGAGAAGATGCGGGAGCAGGAGGAGAAGATGCGGGAGCAGGAGGAGGAGATGTGGGAGCAGGAGGAGAAGATTCGGGAACAGGAGGAAAAGATGCAGAGGCAGGAGGAGAAGATGTGGGAGCAGGAAGTGAGGCTGCAGGAGCAGGAGGAGAAGCTGCGGGAGCAGGAGGAGAAGATGCGGGAGCAGGAGGAGAAGATGCATGAGCAGGAGGAGAAGATGCATGAGCAGGAGGAGAAGATGTGGAGGCAGGAAGAGAAGATGCATGAGCAGGAGTAGAAGATGCGGGAGCAGGAGGAGAAGCTGCGGGAGCAGGAGGAGAAGATGTGGGAGCAGGAGGAGAAGCTGTGGGAGCAGGAGGAGAAGATGCGGGAGCAGGAGGAGAAGATGCGGGAGCAGGAGGAGGAGATGTGGGAGCAGGAGGAGA